CAGCAAAACATAAAATCTAATGGAATAATGATCACTTCCACGCAGATGTTCTCCAATCTCTATCCCATCAACCATTTCATTGTTAGAAGTTCACAATAAATCTAAAATGACATTGTTTCTAGTAGGTTCCTTAAATAATTGTTGAAGAAAACCATGCTGAACAGTTTTTAAAAACCAGTCTCCCTCATGATTGGACTTTAACATTTCCCAATCTATATGCTAACATTAAAATCTCACACAATTATAATCTCTTTAACAGTTGAATTATTTAACTCACTGTAGAGTTTCTCATTAATTTCACCAGTTTCATCTGGTGGTCTGTAACCAATTTCAACTATATAACCATAACAGAAACTCAAACAGATTCAACATCATTGCTATCAGCTTTGAAACCCTCAACTTGAACAGGCTGTAACTCACATTTTGCATATAAAGACACTTCTCCCCCTTTATTAATACTCTATCCCTATGACCTTGTAGTCGAAACAAATTCCTGCTATCAAAATTGTCTACATTTAGTTAGATTTTAGCTATTCCCATTATACCAAAATACCCTGTTTGTTATACTCCTAGCATTACAATAATAACAATTTAGACTACCATTAAAATAACCTTTGTACTTTGCACCCACATTAGACCCCTCTCTACATCTTAATTTTTCTTCATTATTCCGCTGTTTAATCCTAGTTTAAAGTTGCCCTTACAGTTGAGTTAATAGCCCTTGCAAGCAAGAGAAAGGCAAAATTAGTTAAAACAATTACTGATACATTACACAGTGAAAGATGAAAGTATGTAACGTTACATTCAATACTAAGTGATGAGTTGTTTATAGTTTAGACGCCCTTGAATGTACTGTAAAAATACCTAACCTTACAATGAACAATGAATGATAAAAGATATATTATGAGGAAGCACATTAACGTAATACATAATTGTATTCAAAGTTAGATTGAACAATGAGTAGTGGCAATTATGCAGTGAGCAAGCGTTTTAACGTACACTTGGATTATTCGAATTTGATCGAACAGTGAAAGGTTGCGGTTATTTTAAGAACAATCACCTCAACGTATTTTAGGGATAATGCTAGGAGACGGCTTGAATGGGTAATGAAGAAAAACGTTAATATAAGTTTAACATAACAGCAAATGTACAACACTTCGACAAGGTTTTGTCATCAGCAGGTACAAGTAGTTTACATTGACACAGATATATATATATATATATACAGTATGGAACAAAGAGGTCACATAACTGGATATTGTTGCACGACTTAGAAGAGATATCTAGGCACCCCAGGGTGTTGGTTTAGAGTAGGGTTGTTTTGTTCAATTAAGAGGAATTATTTTATTATTTTTAGGGATAGACAAAGCTAATTAGAATAATAATTGATCGTAGTTACCTTATGGAGAACTATCATAACGGATCTTAGGGATAGACAAAGCTAGACTGAACAACGAAATGTCTTTTGTGGATAAACAGTTAGAGGTAAATTAAGAATATCTAAAGATAAACAGAAAAAGGGGAGGAAAGTTATATCGAGAAGAAACACCTGAATCTCCATTAGGAATTTGCAGATTGAATATGCAAGTTGTAAAATAGTTTGTTTAATTTCGATATGAAATCTAGAACAAGAAAGTTCGAGAAAATATGACTTTGAAGTGAACCTTCTGAAGGTATCCAGGGTAAGGAGAATGGGTAGTGGACAAGAACGTTTGTGTGCTAACTTAGTGTCAGTAATTGATACTAGTAATTAGTAATCGTAGTATTCATACCTCTTTGAAAATAATTTAGAAAAAGTGAACATTTTCTAAAAAGGGACGTTTTTCTGGGAAGTACTGCACGGGAAAAGTGTTTGGATTGTACTTTTTAGTCATACGCAATTCATTGCATCAAAATGATTCAGTGTACAAAGCTCAACATTTTCATAAATTTTACTGAAATAAACTGTAATATTCTATAAATTAAAAATGGTAGGTTTATTGAAAAAACAACAACATTTTTTTAAGAATTCCAGTTTCTCAGTACTTACTACACTTAAAAATTACATCAGTAAAGATATAATCAAACCCTCACGAACAGTCCTAGTGAAAGTCGTGTTCTTGTTGTGAGGGAGTACTTTTATTTAAAATTGTGTTCTATTACAAAGAAATGGCTGTTGCGCATACTGTAGTTATTTTTCTAATTGCCTGAGTCCTGAATACCTAAAGTGTGAAAAATTTTATGGATATTTGTTTGTGCTGCCATTCAATAGATGAAGCAGTCGTTTTGGTTACATATATAGATACTGACATACACGCTACGTCCATTATAGTAAAATAAAATACTGTAACGTGTTTTAGTGAGAATGTAATGAAATTGAATACCTATGAGTTTAATTCGATAAGCGTATGAAAATATTTATAATCACTACTGGTTATGTTTTTCAAGGGTTAAGTAAAAGATAAAATAGGATTTTTTCGAAACAACTTACGTAAAATATTCTTTCTGTCAATGCAGTTTTCGTTATTTGTAGGGATGAAGTTTTTCAAAGAATATTTCCGAGCTATAATAGCTGTAAATTAGTTTTCAAATGCATGTCCTTGACCAACTTATTATACACAAGGATTTTCTTGCTAAGGACGTGTTCTGAGTTATGTGTCTTACATTTATAGCAAACAAATTACCAACATCTGTTGTAACCGCTTGTTGGCGTTCATAAAATGTTACATGTAATTGAATGAGGGAGCATTCTCATGAGAAAACTTCTATTCACACTTGTTATTCACGCACGTATGATAAACAAAACCAGACATTCAAAATAGCTCAAGACCAGATCTGTTAGACAGCGAACAACTACAGTTTAACTCATACATTGTGGGCAATATCAATTTTCAAGTCTGGATAGATATTCTTTACAACCTGGTAAATTTATCCCATAAAAAGATCCAAATGCCGCTAACTATTAAGTGAGAACTTTTTAATACAACCAAAGTTTAGAAAGAACACGCATTTAAACAGTACCAATATAATGGAACGTATGATAAAACGTGCGGCAAGCATAAGTTTGGAAGTATTATTAAGATAAAACATTATAAAACAAAATATCCATGTAATAGAATATAAGAAATTATGTGGATAGCTATTACTTTGTGAATTTTGTTCACAAGATTTAGAACAAGGTTTTGTAGAAAGAAATCTGTCATGAAGCTGTAAAAAACGAGTGTATAAGCCAGTAAGTGTTTTCTTACGGTAAACAGATGTGGTAAAGAGATTGTTTATTTTGTTTACTTTGACGTCTAAAAAAAGCTAAGTTATTGTTTTCTTCCATCTTACATGTAAAGTTTAGAGATGGAAGAGTAGAAAAGTATCATCAACGTATCTTCAATATGATATTAGTTTATAATAAAGGGGGAATTATCCAGCCATTGACTTTGTGAAAACAAAGAAAAATATTTGCAAGGGTCTGACATATAGGTTATCCAAATTGTCACCCCGTCTATTTGGTCATAAAGCTGATTATTAAAAACGGAGTGATTGTACTTAAGGGCTAATTTAAGAAACTGGACATATTTGGTTGGGAATAACTGTTTAATAATTATTCAAATTGTGTCCTCACGTGGAGCGTTAGTGAATAAGGATTGAATATCAAAGCTGACCATAATGAATTGGTTTGCATTAGGAAGTTCAGATATATCTTGAGCAAAGGAAGAAAAAAAGTGTTTAACAGTAAATACTTTCTCAGAGGTAAGCATTTTATGTAAAGCTTTTCCTCACGCTTGATCTCCGTCCCACCAAACATGCTCACCCTTTCAGCCGTGGGGGCGTTATAATGTAATGGTCAATCCCACTATTTGTTGGTAAAAGAGTAGCCCAAGAGTTGGAGGTGGGTGGTGAACACTAGCTGCCTTCCTTCTGGTCTTTCACTGCTAAATAAGGGACGGCTAATGCAGATGGCCCTCGTGTAGCTTTGAGTTAAATTCATAAACTAATTTTTTCACGTTTGAAAGGAAGCTTAAGCCAATCATTATCAAGGAGCTTAAACTTTGTTCTGTCATTTAAAATGTCTTCCATTTTGGAGATTTATCAGATCTGTTTAAAATGACGATACCTTCACCTTTATGACAGCACGTAAATAAGTAGGCATTTCGTAACTTGGTTAAAGCAATTAAATTTGTATTATAACAAAGCGCAAAATGGTACTTCAAGCATCAAATTTACATTATATCAGTCCTGCAAATGTGGGCCATAGGCAGACGGGATCGTTAGTATAGAAATAGTGTGCTGTTTAAATAGAAAAATGCATGATAAAAATTTTTTGCTTCTAAACAAGGTAGCTGGAATATTCAATGCTCGAATTCACGCTATGCCTCTGAATATGCTGCACAATCAGTTGTGTCGTATTATAAGACTGACAGTCAATACTGCTATTGGGTAAAGCGTAATCGTGGAGGCAGCGAGTTCTGTTGAAAGGTAAGAAGCTCAAGATTATGGACGGTCATGTCCGAAACTTTAAGGTTTCTGATCTGGCCTTTTAGTCCTTGGTTTGCCCACAGTAGCACCCAGGTTAAAAATACCAAATATCATGTCTAAATGCGGATATAATGCAATACAATAAAAATGTTTTTTACAAGTGCTAGTTTTTTCTTCACATAAAAAACTTATCAAAATCATGTCTTTCATTTTGATGCCGTGCAAATTTTAATGCATAAAGACACAGTATCTGTTAAAAATACATTGTTCTCTAGGTTTATGTTGTAGAATAGGTCTATTAAAACCATTAAATTAACACTTCTGATGCTATAATTTTTGTCAATATTTGAGGCTTATTGTTGAGAATTCACGTTAGGAAGAATGGTAACAAATCAGTATAATATAATGTTGTTTAACCACATACATGTGTTGCACCTAAAACAAGTCTTTCTGATTTTAAAAGCCACTTATAAGGTTTCGAAAGAAAAACATTCTAAATAAAGTTCAGAATATGCAACCGGTTAATGCAATATTAATTAATGCATATGCTCATGCTTTATTCAGTGGTCGATTCAATCGGAAAACCACCAAGTGGGGTCCTTGAAGGAACACTGTCTATGTTGGGAGCTTACGACCAGTGTCTCAAGATTTCAGTCCCACGAAAATCCAGCAGCAAAGAAAAGAAGCCCATTTTTGAAGGGAAGTACTGTTTAGCAGAATATCAGCTTCCTTTGATGCCAAATAATCAATCAAATACGAGGACCAGTTCAAGAAAGTCAGACAACCAACAGTCGGTAATGTTAATAATATAGAATGGCTATTTTCTTCTAATATTTTAACTTTAATGTTTGCACGTATTAACACTATCAAATGATTGCCATTTTCAGAATGTATTATTGCACTATCATACCCATTAGCATAATTTTTGTTATATACATCGACACTAAAAGGGAGTAATATACAAAAGACATTGAACACTGCATGTTAAACGATGTTTCTGATACGGTATACATAAGCACAGTAAAAAACATTTCATACCCGTTCTATATTGGTAATTAGTGTTTCTTAATATTTACTTGTCAAAGCATCTTCTTTCGTTATATAACAACAATAATATACACGATCTAAAACAAATCGTTAATTTTTCTCTTAATGCCTCTACTTTTCTTATGAGGTATAACATAATTGAGGAACACAAAGACAACTGCAGATCTCACAAACATTTCATTTATCTCGATCATAGTCTCGCCATCAGATAGAGATTTCACGTGACTTCAGTCTGTACTTGATGATGGTCTTACTGGTAAAAAACAAAACAAAAAAGGAAAACATATCACTTCAGGCTGTGTCTGGAACACTCCCATGTTTCTTGAACAAATCTGTGTTTCCTGTTAATATGTATATTCTTTGATTATGTAAAAAAAACAATATAATTATTCGAAGAAGTAGCAAAATTAATAAACCTAATAATTCAACAGACCGTTCACAAAAAAGCCTACGTCAAAAAAAAGCACAGCGTGTTTTTGTTAATAACAAGCAAGTTTAAGACATAGACAGGTAACTGTGCTTTTCAAAGTGAGATTTTAAAAAATTGTTATAAACGCACATGTTCACAAATTACAGTTATGTATTTAATCACAGACACAGTACAGCTGTGTGAATCCGAGGATAGGTTAGATTGTAGTTGTTAAGCTTTTACTTAACAATAAAGGTAACTGGTAATTAACTCAAAGAGAAATAAATATTGCGCTGTGTTTAAAATCTGATGGGATTATAACTTCAAAATTTCCAGCAAGATGGACAAGATGGCATCTGTATAAAGTGAATGAACGTTCAAGTAGTACCACCCAGAACCCGATTGACAAGGAAGAGTTTTTTAAGTTTCTCATCATACTAATGATATTTCTAGTCAAACTTCTAGGTTGTGGAATCACCACTCTCTGATGACCTTACAGGATGCTAGATACATTTGGAGTGACAACTTTGAATGTGTCTTCCAGGTAATGAAACAAGTGCCGATCAAAGTAATAGTTCGGAGATTCTAATAAGAGTGATTTATGTATTAAAGAAGTCCAGGATGACACAAGAGGGTCACTGACTATGGTAACATTGATGGTTTCAGAGCAGAGGTGTGAACACCATGTTTCAATTACACTGGAAGATAAACAGAAACATTCTAATAAACTGGTCGTGTGGCAGAAATCTCTAAAGAGTAATATTATTTATAAATACTGTTCCCAGGTCAACATTAAGAGAGTACTAGAGGATGTATACTGGGTAAAGCAGAATTTATAAATAAATAATTCATGTTTATTTTATATATATATTTATGATTCAACAAAATCTCTGGTTTTGTAAATATATATATATATATATATATAACGTTGCTAAACCTGAAAACCATTTAAAACTGTTATTGTGTCCACTGCACAGGACGAGCAGAATCTCTATTGCAGTGAAGTTGATTTTTCTATGCAGGCCTTCCTACCCGTTTGTCAATATATTATGTGTAAAATGCTTTAGAAATTCATTAATAATTAGATAGTGAAGCGTTCGCACTTGGTTGAAGAATAATTAACCTTCAAATTACCGACTGGTGTTTATATCATTCACCATCAGCGTAGTTAATATTGTTTTGTTTGTTTTAGAGCAAAGCCACATTGGGTTATCTGCTTGTTCACCACGGGAAATCGAACGCCGGATTTTAGCATTGTAAGTACATAAACTTACCGTTGTCCCACCGAGGTACCTAGCTGGGTTAACATACTACATTGTACATGTAACTTTATGTTTTTTCCTGTTACAACACTCGTTGAAAGGAATTAGGTGAAATCAGTCACCTTAATTGTAAAATACCCAGGGGACTCCAACAATAAACAACGGGATTAATACCAATATTAATATAATTTTTGTTTAAATTTTTTATGCTATTCATATGTTATTAGTAACCCGATAACCAACGAAGACACGAATCTACAAGTAATTTGATGCACTAATAGTTTAGAAACTAAGTTTAAACAGTTGAAGGGATTCATATGCTATAAAATAAGACTGAGACTAATCCAAATGTAGAGATGTTGTTGTGGGGAGCTAAAGTGTTCGGTAAATGAAGTTAAATATTATATGTTCAGTGATCAACAGAAAAACAAAAAATCCGCCTACTTATCTATTGTTGTTTGAATGTACAGAGTTAATAGAATTGAACTCGGGTTGGATTATTGAGATGTTCGTGAATTATTCTGGAAATATAGCATTACTATTTGAAAATAGTAAAGACGTACACATAAATAAAAGAATTAGTAAACTGATAAATGGTTAAGTAAGATAAGCTCGCATAATATTACTCTTAAGTTTATAAAATTCTTCCTAGTGATGGGGCTCCCAGTGACACAGCGGTATATCTGCGGAATTACAGCGCTAGAAATCGGTTTTTGATACCCGTGGTGAGCAGAGTGCAGATAGGCCATTGTGTAGCTTTGTGCTTAACTTCAAACAAACAAAATCCTACTCTTAAGTTTATAAAATTCTTCCTAGTGGTGGGGCTCCCAGTGACACAGCGGTATATCTGCGGAATTACAGCGCTAGAAATCGGTTTTTGATACCCGTGGTGAGCAGAGTGCAGATAGGCCATTGTGTAGCTTTGTGCTTAACTTCAAACAAACAAAATCCTAGTGATGGAAAATGCGGCAGAACTCTGAACTAACAAAGAATAGTGAACTTGTTAAGTTACGTTGAGTTATCTTCTCACACACTCTACACGATAAGTTGCTTAAAATGTTCTACATCCTCGAACTACGG